ACATAAATACGTACATATTCAACATTTTTCAGTCGTTTTTCAAAGATGTAAATAAAATAGAACGTTTAAATAGTAGAAGTTGAGTGTACGAAATAGATTTTTTATTCATCCATCATATAGATGTCTGGTCTCAACCTTTCTGATCAAGTGTCCTCATTCTTTCCAGTTCTATGCCTCTCCAGCCTTGCAAAATTCGGCGCGCGTGGCTGGATTCCCCACCACGAAATAGTTTCTATTGATTGCACCATCGCACTACTGACCTACTTTCAATTTCTTCAAGCTCAAATACTTTCTTGTTTATTTTTTTTCTGTAACAAGAATCTTTAATTATTTATCCGCTATTACTTAAGGCAGTTTGTATTTACATGGCTTTTTTTTATTTTCATGCTACTTATTTAACTTTGAAGCTTGAACTTCGTATTAAGGCCTATTTAAGAATTCCTGCATTACCGATTTTCATCTTCATTAAATACAAAATCTATCTTTATATCATTCCAGTATGTATGGATATGTATTTATTGAAGAGGCCCAATAATGCAAAGGCTAAAATTCTACCTTTGCTTTTGCTATTTCATTTAAAAGAATTGTCAATAATCATATTAACGCACTTCATTTAATTTTTATCTAATTGCTTAATTCAACTAGTTTTTCTTTACCTAAATATAAATATTTACAAAAACGTGTTTTTTAAATTATATTTTAACAAACGTAATTTATTTCTATACATAAGACTGAATTCCTCTCACTTTTATTATTAGTTATTTTTAGTACTTAACTATCAAGTTCAATTCAATTTAAACAATTTGTTTAATTTAAATGCAACGATAACACAGTATTTTAATACTTTTATAATTTCATGATATGAGTTATATAATAATATAATATAAGATAATATATAAAAGTGTTACCTACCTGTATTTTGAAACTGATACATTATTTATTGCCTAATTAAATAATATATCTTTGTTATAATTAATTAATATGAAAAATAAATTATATTTAAAAGTATAGTATATAATGAATAAATTAATTTTTGCATAAATATTCTTGAAAAAACTTTAAAAAGAAAAATAGTTTGAAAATATTTCATGTGCAAACAAAATTGACTTAGTATCATGATTTTTATTTCATATAAATTTGATTAAATACAATTGTAATTTTTTTATTTATGAAACGATTTATTGATAATATAATTAATTTGAAATAAATATTGATATTTAGATTGTAAATTATAATTATATTGATATACTTATAAATATAAACTAATATCAACATACTATATTTTTAACTCATCATAAGCAATTTAATTTGAATTTAATAAATATTCTTGTGATCAATTAATACTCGAAATATTAAAAAATGATATCTCGAAAATTATTACATTTATCTAAATGAAGAAATTTTAGATAAATACGGAGTGGTAATGCTTCAAAAAATATCATTAATATAATTAGAGAATTGAATATCAAGTTGTAAACCATTATTGAATATGATTGAGATCCATCGTTACGCCTATTTTAATTAGTTTAGATTTCGAAGTTCCCAAAATAATATGTAATTTCTTCGAAATAAATAATTACTTCGAATATAGTATCCTTTTTATTACTTTTACAAATTATACCTGTTTAACGAAGTAACATTGAAGCAAACGTTTTTTAATATAAAATTTAATTTTAATTTTATTTTTTAAGTTATTTATTAATCTTTTTGAAAATTATTCTTGGTAATTATAGATTTATGTGTCATCAGTGATAAGTATTATAAATTAATATTAAATAAACTCATAATACATAAAATGTTTTTGTTAAAAAGAGCAAATAAACAAAATTATCATTTCTCGCAAAATTTAAAGGACTTATCGATAAATAATGTTTGACATTTAACAGTAAATATAAAACTTGATTAATTTTATTTATACTATAAATATAATTCATTACTATAATATAATAACAGTTAATAAATAAAATTTATTTTAGTTGTAAGCTATGTGCCAAAATTAAATTTTTTGATAGCTGCTGATATAATATTATGTTGCTGCGATATAAAATAAAAAAGGAAATACCGAATGAAGAGTGTTGAATAACAGAAATTTGAGAGTGTATGCGGGTTTTGTACTATTCTAAAAAGTTACAACTCAAATTAAATATTTAATAGAACAATGTGAATAACTATTTCTCATATAGGGTTTACAATATTTGTTTTTAAAATTAATATAAAATATGAACTGTGTAAACATATTATTTTAAACTTTGAAAAAATGTTTAGATTTTGACATACATAATATCGTATTTATTGACACACTTATGGATAATTGGCGTCTGTCTAATAGATTATTTCAAAAAACGACGAAATGATATTTAACTAGCAAAAATGTACCAGTTTTGATAGTGCAGAAGGTAAAAATTTTACTACGCTGAATCGTGAAATGTATTCTTATATTAGTATTTCTCGAACTCAAAATCGTACGTAATTATTTTTTTTCCAAAATTCATAATTGTTTAAATTATACACACTTTTAACTTTAAATATTTGTATTTGTTTGAAACAATTTGCTACATTATATAAAAATATTTATAAAATTGAAATCATAAAAAAATTGGAATTGATTTCATTTTACATAAAGAATAATATAAAAATTTATTAGAAAATATTATTAGGCTATTATTGTTTCGCTGCAGTAGAGAATTAAATTATATTTAAAGTAATATATAAACGTTGAATGAAATTATTCTATTAATATAGGAAATCAATATAATAATATTTCAAAATATTTCATATGAATAGCCTGCACTCTTATTATTTATGAATTTATTTTTAACTGATAATTTATCTGTTTCTGATAATATCAGATATTAATAATATAAAGATAAGAGCTACATAATACAATAATATTATACAATAATATTTTAAGTGTTAAACCTTAAGGAAATTACTTCTAAAATATTGATCGTTAAAATTACGGAATGCTTAGAAATCTGCAAAATGTATAATTTGAAATTGTTCAATGATATTGAAATACACGTAGTGTATTAAAAAATTATTTTTAATTAATGAATTTTTCTAAACTACTATATATTCGAATCACTAAAAAACGTATATTTAAAAAATATTTAATAACAGATAATACGCCATTGTCACCAGAAACAAAATAATTTGTTATGAAACCTTGTTAGCTAACATTATAAATATTGCTTACAAGTAAAGTAGTATTTTAATTAAAAATTTCAGTTGTTCAATGAATTGGCAATAATGTACTAAGGATAATAACACAGCCTCTTATGCAGCGAAAAAATACTACCATAAATTATGTCCTATATATTTTTTTGCCTATTTATGGCCAAACCGGTGTTATTAATCTACCTTTAAAGTAGTAAAAATCACGTTATTATAGCTGCGTAGATGGGAATACATAAACGAATGATTTTATAGAAGTAAGATATATACATGTCATATTCTAATTGTGGATGTAGTCTTCTTTTTAGTTATGGATCAATCGAATTAAATTTAATTTGAATTTTATTATCTACCTTGCTCAATGGTCTTTAAGCAAATACGCAGATGGATAAAATTATCAATTTCAAAGGGCGGAGAATCAGAGATTGTCATTTCAAAAGCACTATGAATACGTTAGCTCCGCTTCTGGACCGAATTAAAAGTCTACTACCAGTTACCCGTGGACACAAATGTCTAATTCTGTTGGCTGTATCTACCAAAATAAAATTTGACGCGTTGCTGATAATCTTATATAGTTTATAATTCTATTGACACATTTAAAGTATTCTATTATAAAATTAAAATATTTATTTAAATTTTTATTTTAAAGTATTTTTCATTCTGTATATAAATATTATTGTATGAATTAAAATATTTGTTGAAATTGAAGATAAATTTAAATGAAATGTTTTACAATTTTATTTAAAAACAAATTATTCGTGTTGAAAAACATAAAATATTAAAAATCATATAATTTATCTTTAAAACATTGTATCTTATTTTTAAGTACATAATATGAATAATATAAATATGATAATGATGACATTCATTTTAACTAAAGCTTGTAAATATATTTCAATATCGTATTTGGAATATTATTTATTAATTAATAATGTAGAGTAATCCAAATTGAATTTGTTTTTCTTTTAATATAAGTTTGTTGGGGTTGAAAAAACATTTAAATAAATTTTACAAAAAAGTAGATATTAATAATAGATATAAATTAACATTTAGTACTTTTAAATATAGTTTATCATCGTATTAAGTAATAGTGCTACGTAATAAATAGATATTGATTAATAATAGATATAAATTATGATTATTTGCTGTTCAAAATATTTGTTTTTTTATTATAATTTTAATATTTTATCGTTTACAATTATAATGGATAAATTTTTTATTATTATAATCAACACAATGGGAAGTATCAATGTAAAATCAAGTTGAAATTTACTCAATGTTATAGAAGATAAAAGGGAAGAATTTATTCATTTTAAATTATTATAATTATCCATTGTAATATTAATATTATTATATGATTAAATTCCTATAGATCAGATTTTTGTTTTCAATTATAGTTTTCTTAATATGTTATATTTAATTTTTCTTACATTATTTTATTCTTACGTTCCATTTTATTTATAAAATAGTATTATTTTAATATTAATTACCATTTAAAACAAGGTACTAATAGTCTATTTAATAAATAATAAAGACAAATGATTTTTCTTATTAGGCCATGAGTATCCTCGGTTCAGACTAAAACAGTCTTAATAATAAAGTTATTAGCATCTAAACATTAATTTTTTTTTTTTTAATTTTTTTTATTACATATTAATATTGAAATCAATAGACCGTTTAAATGTCTCATTTTATTTATTAAAATTATTAATTCATTTGCTTGATTAAAGTTATGAATTGATTTAATTAAAATTAATGCGTAGGCATAAAGTTAATGGTTTTGTGATTTTATCAATTTGTAGTTTCAATTTATGAAACATTGAGCCAGTTATTACTAGTTTTATATTTGTCCGTGATTTAAAATTCTGTTTATTTAATTTTTTTTTTAATTATTCTGAGTAATGTATGTTTTTAACTTCAGAGAACAATTTTTATTCGATACAACTCTAATCATGATTCGAGAGTTGTCAAATATTTAAAAACATAAGTATTATTAGTATACAACTGATTGAAATTGTTTGAAATATGAGGTCTTGAAAAATTATTTCTTATATTAACATAATTATTTCTATAATGTTTTATAATTCTCCATGTTGTACTACCCAATACATTATTTTTGGAACTATTTTTAGTGGAGAAATCTAAGAAAAATTATTGTTTGATGTAATTTTACAAATAATTTATTAATTTAATTTTTGAACATAATTTTTATATATTTTAGGTTTATTTGTATGTACTTTATATATTTCAAGTATCACAATCGTATTTGTAATTGATTATAATTTGTCTTCTGTAATTCATTATAATTTTATTTCATTAGCTTAGTTTCGTTAGTTCAATAATTTATAATAGTATTATTAATAAATAAATTATTAATTTATATTAGTTGTATAAATGGATTAAAACGCTTTAAAAAATATAAACATGGTCTTTCAAAATTATTTTATTAACTTGTTTTTTAGTGCGTCCATCAATATTAATTATAAATTTAAAATAATAAAAATATTCTTTAAATTTTTCTGTTTTCACAGATAGTTTATTGTAATAATCATTGCAAATTCGACGTTTGTTGAAATTGTATCATTATTTATTTGAAAAATTGTAACGTTTTATTTATTTCTTAAAATCATAATTTCATTATTACGATATTCAAAATTATCTTTAACAATGTAAAAACTTGCTTTATTATTAGAATTATTTATTCCTTGATTTACGTAACACTTTCATAATAAAAACATGTTTTGTAAAAGTATATCATTTTTCTTCAACATTTTCGGACTAAATTCAATAAAAAATCTATATTAAAATTTAATTCATTAAATCATTGTAAAACGTAACAGATATATTTATATTAGAATAAAATTTTATATATAGAGCACTTAAAAATTATTTAATTAAAATTACTACTTAAAGAGTGAAGTGACTATCTTTACTCAGAAGCTACCATAAATAAATTCATATTTATATTATGAGTGTTTATACTATTATTAATTAAGTTCCTGTTATTATTTAGACGACATTTGTTTGTGCATTTGAATTATAATCAAGAGTGGATAATATTTTATGAATAATGAGAAATCTAATTAGTGAATATACATTATATCTTTTTCTACTTATATTTTTAGCATGTCATAAAATTTCCAACCATTCGCTTGAAAAAGCTTAATAACGTAATGATACGAAATGATTTATTAAGGGATGAATAGTTGTTTTGGTTATAAATTTTTTAAAATTTGTTAAGATAAAATATCTGTAAGTTATTACTCTGATATTATATTTTAATAACCAATTTTTAAAATATAATTTATGTTTTATTATTTATTAATGATTATCTTTGTATGATTCTTTATAAAACATGGAAAATTTAAACATTCTCTTTTTTTTAAATTGCAAAATTTTTGTGTTTTTGTATTAGAGTACTTTATAATTAGAAAGCAATTGTTATCTGATTGAAATTATATAGCATTAAAATTATATTGTTATATATTTTAGTTTTTTACAATTTTATAATTGTAGTTAGATTCTTTTCCAGTTCATTAATAAATTATATTCAAAATCTATATTTTTAAATAAAAATATTAACGTATTTATACGATTGTTTTTTACTTTTTCATTATGATTTTCTAAATTAACAATGAATTATGTATTTTATTAAAATCTGGCTTTGATAAATAATCAGCTTTGATAAATAATTTTTTGTAATTTATCATTTCGATATTTGTTTGTTTTATTTACTTATATGTGTTGTAGTATATTTTACAGTAAATCTCGAATAGATAATTCCGAAATTATTTATAATTTAAATATTTTTAATATTAATGGTAAATAATATAGATAGAATTATTATAGAAAAGAATAGAATAGATAGAATTTCACTGATATTAGAAATTTTCCAATGAAATAAAAAATTCATATATATATATATATATATATATATATATATATATCAGAATAAATGTTTAAGATAAAGTTATATCGAAAAATATAAATTTGTTTTATATATATTGAAAAATATATTTTTGTTACTGTATAAAAATTTATTGTATATTCTTATTATCATAAAATTTAAATATACAAATTACATTGTCCATTAATTATATTAATTATTAATTATATTATATTTATAATTTTATACATTAATTTTATTTAGAAATATATTTATATAATTATATTTATAAAGAATAAATTATATTTGTAATAGAAAAAGGATTAGTTACTATATTAGTAAATTTCTGCATATATTTTTTCAAAGTTCTGCAATGTGATTCGAGTATAACTGGATCTAACGCAAAAATAAGTTTATTTAACTTAACATAAATTTTTTATCAATTTGCTTCTCTAAATCGAAGTTAGTGGATGCATGAGAAATTATTCAATCTTTTTTAAACAGTTTATAAACATTTAACAAAGTATAACAAAGTTAAGCGCCCTTTCAAAAAGTAAAACAGTTTCATTTTATTGAGATATGTAAGTTTTCGCATATCTTTTAACATACAAATACTATACTTAACCGTAGAAATATTCCGTAAAAACTAAATTTTTATTAACATTTAATATTAATTTATTTTTAAAACGTGGCAAAAGAAAGAATGATCCCAAATATCATTTACATTAATTATTAACAAATCTTCTTGAATTATCGATTAAGTACAAAGTAATAATAATTACTTAGTATTACAAATTAATCTATTAATAGTAAGTTAGATATGGTGTCTTATGCAGAGCTGCATTGAAATTTAAAAGAGTGATGTATACATGCATTTATTATGAACTAAATGTAGTATATATAGGATAAAGTGTGTACTTTCCTTCAGAACTGAGAAGCAGATGTGGTTATACGACTTACGCTAGCGTAATTTCAACTATTTATTTATGTAATTTTGCTAATAAATCATCCACTTTGCTTTCATTTATCTATTAATAAAACCATTATTCATTTTTCTTTTTAATTATGGCAATTTCTCAAGATTCGATATTGAAATTCAATCATAAGAATAATTTATAAACACCTGTGTTAGAAATTTTATGATTGAATTCTATGTGTATTGTAATTATAACTACACATGCACACAAGTAAAAGAATTAGATTTTTATTATTTACATTATTAAATTATTCTTAATACAAATTGTAATCGTTGCAGCTGAAATTTAATTAAAAATAACTAAATAATTTTTTTACCAATAAAAATCAAAATGAGTAGTTTTACAGCTGTTCTGCCAAAAATAGATTTATTCTATCTTAAAGCATTAAAATATAATAACTAATTGTTTTATTTATTATAGTATAGTATTATATATAATATCAAATAGTGATTAATGATGGTGGTAGGTTAGAAAGTAAGCGATGTTTCCTGTATGGTGATGCGTGAAGATAGAATGCCATCGCTTCCCGGGTCCAGGCAATCAAGTCTCTGCGTTAAAAACTTGAATTTCTCTGATTCGGATATGTTTAAAACTAATTGCAACAATCAATTTCATCGTTCTACCTCTGGCACCACTATTTCATCTTTTAACGACCAAAACGACATAGAAACTAAAAATAATCGCAATAGAGTAAGTTTGAACTTATTACTTTTATTCGTACTACAAATATTACAAATTTATGAAATGAAACTTCTTATAATTTTAATTAATAGTCCAATTGTAACCTTTTTATTATTTTGTGTTTACAATAAATTTATGCTATCTCTATAATTTAATAAAGAATCGAGTATAATAACTACTGTTTAATATTATATTCATTAAGTATATTTATGATGTAAATAATATATTATATAATATTTACAATATTTAAATTATATTATTTAACGTTTCACTACATGCTACAATTTATACCGTTTACTTATTAAAGTGGGAAAAAGCACAGTAAGAAAATAGATAGTTTTGTTTTTATAATAAAGAAATAATTGAATTTTTGTTATCAATATTGAATTATACAATTAATTAATCACAAAAGAAAATATTTATTTATAGACAAATTCAAAAGTAAAACTATTGGTTCGAAGTCATGCCATGAAAGAATCCACATCTCCACCGCGCAAAGCTCAGAACGATTCGGTATCTTCGATACAAAATCGACTACTGATGGATAATGAAACTGCTAATAATGTTACTTCTACAGTCTCTACTATATCGAACATCAAAAAATCAACTCTAAAAAAATTTGTTTATGGCATTAATTTGACGTCCAACATCAGTAACAGTAACGAAAATAATAAACAACAGTCATTAAATAATGAGGCAATATGTAATAGTAATTTTAGTGCCAGGTGTCAGTCACCCAAAAAAATGAAGAATTTACGTATTAATCGAATAGCCCTACATAATGGTTTGATTAATTTAATTTCGTAGTTTTTGATTTAATAAATTATAGAATTTTTTAACTAAACTTTATTATAAATGGGGTTACTTTTAATATTATTTTAACCGATATATACGTTTATATTTTTCATACAAAGTAGTAATTTTATCTTCAATTTCAGATTCGTCTAGTTCTTTTCAAGCACATCAGAAGACTATTAGATCTCCCATAAGTAATAATAAGTCTGAATGCCAAAAATCACACCAAAATAATGTAAACACTAGTTTAACATGCAATAATTGTGTTAAAAATGATCAACTTGGCAGGCTTGATTTACTTCAAACTTCAAAATCACCATCAAAAAATCAAAATTCACAAAAACATATGCAGAACAATAAAAAAAATGAACAATGCAGATCAAATATATTAAGTATTTGTAACAACCAAGATTCAATAGAGTGTGGCAATGTTTCTAATAATCGTTCCGACTCTAGATACAAGCTTAAGAATCAAAATCCATTTAATCAAAATAGCTATGAGAGTGTTTCACCATTGCTGTCAAGAGGTTACAATCAAGAATAATTGATTTGTTATAAATTTAGTAGTTTTCTCATAAATTTTGTATGTAATTTGATTTTCATTTTAGATAATAGTACAGAATTATATACTGATAGTACTGGTATAGATTTAGAACAATTTATTGCAGATACTATTAATCGAAATCAAAAAGATCGAACTGTACTTTTAAAGATTGAGAAAGATTTAATAGATTTTGTAAAAGATAAACAAAAAATTTCTCATAAATTTCCAAATATGTCTTCATACAATAGAATGCTAGTGCATCGAGTGGCTGCATATTTTGGTATGGAACATAATGTAGATCAATCTGGATTAAGTGTAATTGTTACAAGAACAAAAAATATGCGAATTCCTGAAACACGTTTCAAAGAACATATTCACAATGATTTACTTCTTGTTGAAGAACCACGCAGAAGTATTTTAAAAAGGGACTCTAATTCATTTGAGGATAGTTTTAACTTTAAATTTCATGATAGAACATCAGGTGAATTTTGTCGTCGCAGTAAAAGTTTTGAAGAGCGAGAAGAAGAATATGAAAGAGCTCGACGAAGAATATTTAAAGAGAGTAGCAGTGAAAATGACGAAGTTACATCTTGGCCTTACTGGTCATCTTCAGAAAGTTCTGAAACTTCCATAAAATATCGCTTGTTACACCCATCTAATCATTCTATTAGGTGATGTGTTAAAATCATATTTAATTTTTTTTTAATTGAATATTTTTATATATTATAAATTCAAATTTTTCAAAATTTTAGGCAAGCAAGATTATCTAAAGGAGAAGCTCTTGATGGCAAACACTTATTTCACTCCAATATTTTGCGACCATCTGTTTCTAAATCTTTTAGTTTTGGAGGTTATACTAGAGGAGTACTGTCAAAGGATAGTAGCATTATGTCTACACATAGTACTGGTAGACATCTAATAAAACAAGGTTTATATAATTTAAAAATATTATTATTTTAATATTTTTCTAACGTATATAATTAATCTTTATAAATTGAAGAATCCAGTACTAGTATGTGTTCTCGCTTAAGTCCTTCAAATAGTGAATATGAATCTCAGATTCAAAGAAGGGAAATGACTATACCTACCTCCCTGTCATCATCACCAGTTCCTAGTAACCTGTGTAATCAATTACAAATTTCTAGTCAAGATTTAGTCATACCAGAATCAAACAGTCAAACAGTTATATGGGTAATAAGTAGTATGTCTAGTGTACCACCAGGTAGCATAATAATAAATCCACAAACAAATCAACCATACATGAATCAAGATGGCTCTTTATATCGATTTGACCCAAACAATCCACCAAAGTTTTTTATAAAGAAAGCAGAAACTCGAGGTATATTTAAATCACTGATTTTTGTTTCCATTATTAATTAATAATGATAATTAAATTTAATTTTAGATTTGAATGCATCACTGAAAATTTGTGAACCATCTGAATCATACAAAACAATTTTGAATAATAAAAATGATTATGGCAAAAGACAAGAATTGCAAATATTGAAACATAATTATAAATCCTGTTTCAATGCAACAAAAAAAGCAACTATGACAACGCTAACTACAACAATGGCAACAAATACAACACATTTAACAAGCTCTATAACATCTCCAAGTTTAGCATTTAAGTCATTGCCTTCATTACCACAACCATCACTTTTGTTCTATGAACGTCAGCATCAGTCAAAACTACACTCTCAGTTACACTTGCACCAACATCAATCTCAAGGTGCAGTTCAGCAACAGCAGTCTTTAATCAGAGCTGTTACCATTCAATCATGTAATCGTGGTCAGGCTGTTCAACCTTATGCACCAGATGTGCCTAAATCTGAACCATACAGTCAGAGTATCTACCAACATAATGTAACACAACAAACTGTAATGATGAATCAACATCCAATGTATGGAGTACCATCTATATTAAAAAATAGACAAGAAGACATATTCAATCAAAATCACCTTTATACGAATTATACATTACCTATACAATATTCATCTAGACCACAGTCTGCGGTAATGTTTCTTTATTTTTTAATATTCAAATGTATTTTTTAGATTCTGTGTCCATTTTAAATATAAAAGTATTTTATAAAATATAAGTCTTAAAAGTACTCTAAATTCATTAATTGCTCCTTTTAATTACAAATTTTTTGTCAAACACAGGATATAACTGAATTGTCAAATTACTTTATGGGAATGAATGTTTATGATCAATGTGGTGCAGGTAATAATCACACATTTACACATCCATATACACAATTGACTCCAAGAATAAATGAAACATTAACAAGTTTTCAACCTATGCAATCTAATTTTTGGCAAACATCTACAAATCAAATTCTGGTAGAATTCATTTTATATTTAAAATATGAACAAAATGTTTAGCTTTTAAATATTATTTTCTAACATCATTTATTAATAGCCACAACAAACCATGTATTTCGCACCTTCCCTAGGAAATACAATATTTCTAAATAAAAATCAGAATGATAGACAAGTATCTCAACAAAGACTTACATCGAGTTATTCTATTAATTTGCAAACAATGCCTACAATAAGTCAATCAAATGGTAAAATTATAGATATAAAGTATTAATATTTATAACTAAATTAATTTTATTTATAACCTAATTTGATTTACAGTAAATTATGTGAATAGCTGTAGAGTTCCTTATAAATCCATATCAACTGTTTCACCTAATTCAAATGAATATTTGTGTCAGCCACCAATTCATACGGTTCCTGCTTACTATCCAAGACAATCTGTAATTCATCCATCTTCTGTAATTTACAGAGTATCCACACCACCAAATTCAAATCAGGTTTTTTATACTATTTCTCAAAATCATGTAAAAATTATTGACGTACTAAATTTAATTTTTAAAGTAGCAAATATCTAGCCTTTCAGGTATTCAAATTTTAATAACTATCCTTTTCCTATATTATACTAAGCAGAGTATTTAAATACTAAATGGACCTAAATATTTATTTCTAGCAATTGCTTTTTATATGATCCCCCATTATAGTTTCTAATTTTATTTATCAATAAAGTATTAATTATTTTTTATATAGCTCATTAAAGGAGTTCATACATTGACTCCAACTAATAAGTCTCTAACACCTGCATATGAACTTTATGGAATTAGAAGTGGAGACCAAATCACTCAAACAATGTCACATTATCCACTGCCAATGTATCAAGGTGTTCATATCATACAAGGTTACATAACATTTTTCATTTTTATATGTATGTTATACAGCTTATAACTCATTTAATCACACTGCAAAATCTTAAAATTTTAGAGTGGTTGTTACTCAAATACTTTAAATATAATCATTATTTATATAAATGATAAATAATGCTTCAAATAATTAATATTTCATATAATTTAATTAATCAAAATATTTAATTATATTATGTAATTACACCCATAAATAAAAATATTCTAGTTTTTCTAATGAAAACATATAATTAATTGTATTTTGTTTATTTTAACTAATTTAAAAAAAAAAGTTAATTACATATTTTTTCTCTTTTTAAGATATGAGACTGATACATCCTGGAGTATCAACTAATACTAGATTTCAATGTACACCTGTACAATCATCATTGGTTACTCAAGGCTGCTGCCCTATATCTTATAAGCCAATATCTTGTTTATCAAATACATCTAGTAATAAAACATCTCCTTTCTTAGATGGAAAATATTTTAGGTATGAAAATATTTTATATTCAACTTAATAAATTTAATTTTGCTTAATAACCTATTCCTTAGGTCAAAAATTATAAAACTAGAAACAGTACTACCAAATGTGCATCTATCCCCTTTAGTATCTTTTTCTGCTAATACACCAAGTCGTATAGAAGAGGGTCAATCTATATTATAAATAACAATTAAATTATTAAAAGTAGCTACTGATTGTCTTTAATTTTTGTGTTAAATTATGTTATTTATTACTTTTTGAGATAAAAGAAATTAAAATTTGTGGCTTATTTTTTTCTAAAAGGGAAACCTGGAAAACATTGTGATTTAAGGTATATAACTTAAATTAAACATTTAATTTCAATTGTTTCCTACAATATAGAAATGATATAGTTTCATTATTTGAAGTGTAGTTGATTTGAACTTCGACAAAAATATACTTATTATTTTCTTATTATTGTATGTAGAAGAATTATATTTATTTTTTATATTTTTTTATTAAAACATTTAAACTGTTTTAAATTACTTGAATAAATCAATATTGCATCAAAATATTTTATATACTTTATCATACTTTATTATATTTGTTTGAACCTATGAAAAATTTAAATAATATATTGTATTTGCAGAAACAGCAAAAGTGACAATCACTCATCAGAATCAACTGTAATACAAAATGAAATTAGATAAGAATGAAAGAAGTAAGATACTAAGCACGGTACAAAAGCAAGTAATAAAAACAAATCAAATGTATTATAACATAGTTTTTATTTTCAAACTAGGTTACATAAAAAGAGCATAATATGAATGAATATGTAACATTTTTTTTATATGATGTTAAAGAGTATAAGTACAAATTAACCAATAATTGTTATTTGGCAAACAGAAAATTTGATGCGTTTCATGAAAATGGATGGCAATAAAAATAAAATGTTTTAAATATAAATTTCAGCATCATTGAAGAGAAGATGAATAGATATTGATAAAAATTTATCTTTCATTAAAAATAAAACGAAAATATAGATAATATATATAATACTGTATGTGAAGACATTTCAAAGACGGTTTTACAGATTTCGCATTATAAATGTGAGGTTTGTCTTTAAGATAAACTATGCAGATTACCAAAAATATTTTTGTGTTTCCAAGAATGTGATGTACTGTTACTATATTGTATTATTGTAATTAATATAACCTACTGAGTACATTTGCAACAAAAATATCGTATATATATAATACGATAATATATTATTAAAAGTATAATAGTAATCTCATCAATTTGATAATCTATGTAAACATTACGTGCAAGCGCACAACAATGTTTTGAAATAATGCAAAGTTTATATACAATACAAATGTATAAATTATTCATTTTAATTTTAAACAAAAATTAGATAAATATACCATAAATTGAAAATTATTATCTAATAAAAATTGTCAATACTTGTTTCATTTACATATATGTGATGAAAGATTTAAAAAGAAAATATAAAGAAATAAATCTGTAGAAATACTTATTTAAATATTTAATGTATAAATTGCAAATATTTAAAGCAATAGTACTTATTAATGTTAAATGTAAAAATTTATGAAATACAAAACCGTATTAATGTGGATAATATATATTTATTGATAAACTGTGAATTAGAATTGCTTCAATTGATTCATCATTTAATAACAAACACTTACTTGGTATTACCTAATAATTCTCAAGTAATTTCAATTAAGACATGGCCGATTTTTTTATATGTTAGATTTATAACAAAATTTTATAAAAAAAATTTATATCCATCAAACAATGTAAATTTATGCAATAGTTAATTATACATCTAGTTAACACATCAGCAATTGAATTAATTAAAAGTATTATTTATTTTTCATAACTAGTCAGAATTTTTATTATGCAGGACTTAAACTGGTAGATAATACAAATTATTTAAAATATTTAAAAATAGTTTAAATTATTGTTCATTAACCTCAATGATTTGAAATAAGATTGCATTAAAATTTCAATTTGTAAAATGTAAGCCTACATAGAGCGCTTATCCTTTCTGGATAATAACATAATTTTTAGTAATAAAATTGTATGTATATACATACATGCATACATATATATATATATATATATATATATAATTTTTTTTATTTCAATATATTTAATGTACAGTTCAACATTTGATTTTTAATATCAGTACTATTAAAGACTATTTAAAATTTTTATCATTAAAATACTCTAATACACTAACAGTTTTTACAAGCATAAATTTTTTACATTGTGTTGCAAGATATATGTACTAAATAAAATTTATATAAGTGTATGTTTTAACAAATTTAAAATTTTATTTGTCTCAATCTGAAGAACTTACATCATTGTTTATCCATTGATAAAATGCATTAAGTATTAAAAGAAATGTTAAATCTTCATTACAAGGTAGTTTATTGCAGTATTTATCGTACCTAATATAATAACTGTATTTGTATTATTAATTCCATATCTCATTCAATTTTATGCCTTTGAATATTACTAAAGTGTAAATAAAAGTAAAATGTGATTATTCAATTAATTTAATTTTTATATTTGTATGAGAATGTAGAATACTAGTCAATTAAGGTCTTAAAAAGATTACAAGTTATTTTCTATCAGATAAAATTTTTTTTTATAGATTGTATTTTCTTTCTTAAAATTACAATAAATTGAATCTTCTTCTTTAATACTTTAAAAAAATTTTTCTAAATTACTACATGTGTGACAAACTTATGGTCTTGAATTTGAGTTTCATCTAATGCCTATTTTACTTATCATTCCCCAATATTCATTTTTCAAAATTACAAAATAATATAATTTTTTATGAACAAATACATTCATTTACTTTAAAAATATTTTGTGTATTAATTTGATATACTATTGTACTATTATATACAAATATCAGCACAACTGTGATTAATTATCACTAAATGCATTGTATCGATGGGACTAATTATAACTCCAAAAGACAAATTTAATTATTTAATGTAATTATTTTCAATTATTTTTGAAAAACTGAAAAATGTATTAAATTCTAATTATAATTACAAATGTAATTATAGCATAGTAACCGATTATATTTCATTACTTAGTTCCTTTAATATTCAGAATATACTGCATAATATTAAAAATATGTATAAATACAAATTATAATTACAAAAGAAGAAATGGGAAAAAAGACAGTCACAATACTTCCTGTTATTACAAATATTTTTTATTGAGATATAAATCCATTTGCTCATTAAATTTATTTGTATTTAGAATAATTGTACAAGGTATATATCAACCTTAATAATTAGTGCAGTTACTGAAATATATGAATAATATGTGTATAACCTTCATAATTAAAACAATTACTGTAATACATAGATAGTTACGTTAATATAAATTTAACATACTATTACAATAGGTCAGAGTTTATTAGCTTAATTAAATGTACAAAATAGCTTTTTACCAAATAAAAAAATTGCTGCATATTATCCAAAATTTTAAATATATTTTAATTATTCTAAAATTTTCATGTCTAGCTGTATTTATCAACTATTTATAAAGATGTAGGCTTTTCACTAGCTAGCCTGTGTTTATTTAAAAAAAATATAGATATATATGACACGAATTACTTTCTCATCTGAGTAACTGTAAATATATATAAAGTCGTGACTTCATAATTTATCAATGTTTGTAGTAGTGTGTTATTATTTGATAAATGAATTTAAAAGAGAATGAGTATTTATATATATCGATAAGTTCAAGATATGTATTTGTTTATTATTCTTATTTTTAAACTATTTTTTCTTAAATTTTTCATGAAAAAGCAATAAAGTGTAAAATTTGGAAATATAATTAACAAAATTTTAACTGCTGTGGCTATAGGCAGTATTTGTATATGGTCCACTGTATATTGATGAACCCGTCGTTGAAATGCTTTTGTGTCGCTTTTTGCCAAGAAGAATGAAAATTGCACCAATTATGGCTAATAGTAGAAAGAGACTAGCAATAGCGATACCAATGGCGAAGCTTTTCTGGGACATGCAGATGTAATTTGTGTCATCGTATGCCTGTAATAATTATCCACATTTCATTCATTTTTAATATTTTTAGATTTTTTACAATCTACATAAACATGCGCAAATATATATTACTTTAAATTTTACTCAGAATATAAAAGTATATTAACTATTCTATATTGTCAACAATATCTTAAACATAACAATTAAAATTCATATTTCGTTTGTTCTTGTATTAATGGTGAATTTATATTTCAATATTCACAAAATTGAAAAAGCAACAAAGTATAATTATTAGTATTAATAAATAAAATATGAAGAATCTTTATATAAATTATTTAACAAATAATAAAATTATATAAGTATTAGAAGTAATTGATGGAATTAGAAGTAACAGAGGAAAAGTCAAAAAGCGATGATAGCTCACTCGTTCTTTGGAAACATCGTAGTAATCCGACTTTGGAATGACGTCAGCCTCGTTAACGTAAAATCCGCTATATACTTCAATAGTAGCTGGTACACCAGTGTCGCTAATTTCTGTATTTTTTATGTTACTATCCTTGGTTTCTCTACGACGTCGAGCTATGTCGGTACAGAGTGGTGGCTAGATAAAAATAATTTACAGAATACTTTTGTAGCCTAATGTGTTACAGCCCATCATGTTTATTGATGTGTATCGATACACTGTATTAAATATTTTTGATGCCTTAAACAGTGTATTTTTTCCAATTTTAGAAAATAATATAACCATTAGTGGTTAATATTTTATTTTATTTATGAAAATATTCTTTGTTAGTCCTAATAATTTTATGAAAGCTAATAAAATATATACTTTTTTCATAAGTATCAAATTCAAGTATTATTAATACTTCTATTTGTTTTATTAAAGAAATGTATGATTCCCTTAGATGTATACACTTATTTGATGAACATTTAATGTGAAAATTTATATTTACCGTATCAGCACATCCTCCTTTATACTTCATGCAAATGCTAACATTACATTGATAATAGACGCTGGATGTATATGGAAATTTATGTGCTTGGAAATGTACTTTGGCTTCAGTTTTGTCATCCCTATAAGTAAATTGTCCCATAATTTCGCCATCCACTGGACAACTAAAACCAAGATATGGAATAGAAGACTTGAAAATGCAGTGTACAGTCATAAACTATATACAAAACATGTTAATTAAAAATATTATATTACTGTTATATACAATATACTTCATTTTCTGATGTAAATTCATCCAAGTAGTCTTGCTAATTAAATTTAAAGTAATTTTTACTGAAATCCCAAGTTCTTATATAAATTAATGGACGCTTCTAATCATTAAACTGTGGAAAATTAATGGATGACTCAAATTCTTAATAAATAATAAAATTATACAAAATATAATAAAAATAGAAATAGTATAAAACACAAAGTATGATAAACATATAAACAGTATATAACATAAAGCAGAATAAAGATATAAATAATTTTTAACATGAAATATAATAAAATATTATACACACCCTTCATGATTTATTAATCGCTGTTCACCCCAACCAATACCATCTCTAACAATGCAATCAGAAATTCGCAGTCCAAACAAATCCTGTGTTTCAATATTAATGACTAGTGTTAACGGATCACCTATTTTTACATTTTCTGCAATTTGTTGTGCCGATGGTTCACCGTTATAGATCTTCATTGAGCAGCTTGGCATTGGTGCTGCTGCCTGTAATTTAATTTCTACTTGATAAATTCTTTTTTTCAAACAGTTATTTTCATATCTCTTTGACAGAGTATATAAAAAAGGGAATCATTTTTTAAGCTTGTAAAATTTAAATGGAATTTTTTTTAATATAACATAAAAGAATAATCAAAATATAATTAAAATACTAGTATTTAATAAATAAAAAATTTGAAATTAACTTATAATACTTTTTAATATATTTTTAATATACTTTTAAATACTACATACAACAAGTAAATATAATAATAAAAGATATATATTGCAATATTATTTTAGATAGAAAGGATGTATTTTGTAACATATATTTGGATTTTCAAAAGAAAAGGAAATTAATGTTCTTACTTGCAATGGTAACGATTGCAGCATGGCAACTTGCGTCTGATCATTTGATACAACTTTATCACGAGTCTGATACCGACATCGTACATGAAAACCTCTACCCTGATTCGTGACTAATTTCAAGTGTGGTTGCACTACTATCGTATTAAAATATTCGATTTCACCATCATCCTAAAATCATAAAATAAACAATTCCGTTATCAAAAAAAACTTCTAACTTTAAATAATCCATACAAGATTGTCTTCTAATGTAATCTCTATGAATATTTATTACACAAAAACTTACATATTCGAGAGATAATTTATCTAATCTTACAAGATATGTAAACAAACATAAGTAATTGTTAAATCTAAATGAAAGCGCATAACTTATATATCATGGTTTTCGATTATTGGGAGCTGTTCGGAAAATAATTCCACAATCTGACTTGTCAGCCAAACGTGCAGAAATCAACTTAGAACAAAAAAACCACTGGATGTTGTGTGGGGTTGCCGGACAAGTAAAGGGTTAATGCATCGATTCAATAATTAACAAAGGTCTTTATTATTACTGTTTAATTCATTTATTTTACTTTATTTCCAATGGGAATTATTAACCTTGGTGAAATTACAAATGATCTTTATATTTCTTAATAATCTTGTGGTGTTGATATATATTTACTATAAAAAAAGTAGGTTATAATCTATTGAATATTATCACTTGAGGTTATGGTGATTGTAGTGCTCTGATCGAACACTGCAATGTTATTGTGTTTTATCTCAACACGTGTGCAGTTGCTTCTAAATATCGGTCGTAAGAGAGCCTAAATGGAGGTTATGCGAAGCTGTGCGCCATCTGTGGCGGGAACAACTTATAGTTGGAGGGATTGAAAAGCCATTGTGGCTTTTGTAGCTGGTCTTGTTCTAGAGTATGTCCGGGAAGCTTCCGTAGTTGGACTTTA